GAGTTTCTGATCAGTAAAAGAAACTGTCAACAGAGTAAACATATAGCTTACAATAGGAGAAGAGATTTGTAAACTATACACTTAACAAAGGCCCAATATCCAGAATCTGTAGAAAATTGAAATCAACAAGCAAAAAACAAACCCATTAAAAATGGGCAAAGGACATGAACAGACACTTCTTAAAAGACAAACATGGAAAAATGCTTGTCATCTCTAAGCATCAGAGAAATACAAATCAAAACCACAATGAGATACCATCTCACAACAGTCAGAATGGCTATTACTAAAAAGTCAAAAAACAGTTGCTTGCAAGGCTGAGAAAAAAAGGGGATGCTTACACACTGTTGTTTGGAATGTAAGTTAGTTCTGCCACTGTGGAAAGCGGTCTGGAGATTTCTCAAAGGACTTAAAACAGAGCTACCATTCGATCCAGCAATCCCATTAGTGGGTATATACCCAAAGGAAAATAAATCATTCTATTGATTTTCTGTTAGAGCAAAAAGAAGTAGGACAGATTGAGGAATAGATACTAATGGACAAATTATTCATTATATGTATGCAACAACGTGGTATTTGAAATTAAATGACTAACACAATTGCAATCCCTTCCTGAACATATGACCTGTGATTTAGAAAACCAACTACTACATACTATAATACACCTCCAACAGAGTTCCAGCATATAAAAGGCTATCTACTGTGTGTTGAATAAATTAATATAAAATATCATTATGCCAGGTTGAGATCAAGGAGGATATGGCAGAGGCTTAGAATTTCTAAAACAATTGGGATGTTCTCTGTTAGGGTTCTATTCTATTTAACAAACTATTGAGAACTGAGTGCCTGCTATGTGCTGATATGGAACAGGACAGATGCAGTCCCCTCTCTTTTTTGAGGCAGAGTCTCACTCTGTCACCTAGGCTAGAGAGCAGTGGTGCTATCTTGGCTCACTGCAACCTCCACCTCCCAGGTTCAAGTGATTCTCCTGCCTCAGCCTCTTGAGTGCCTGGGACTACAGGTGCATTTTAACATGCCCGGCTAATTTTTGTATTTTTAGTAGAGAAGGGGTTTCATCACGTTGCCCAGACTGGTCTGGAACTCCTGACCTCAAGTGACCCACCCACCTTGGCCTCCCAAAGTTTTGGGGTTACAGGTATGAGCCACCATGCCTGGCCCCTGATTCTTTTCAATGGAGCTTAAATTTAAATGGGTATAATTCATGGATATAGGACTAGATTTTTAAATGAAGAGACTTGTGCATGATTGGGGTATTTTGCACTAGGCTCCCAAATATTACTGAAAATCTTATTCAGAAGTGTGCTCATTCAAATTTATGCATAACTAGACTGTTTCGCAGCCCCATTATGCTTGAGGATGTGTGTATGTACGTATGTTTCTATTGTTTGTATAGGGAGGAGCAGAAGGCAGTAGATAGAGAGGAAGAGTCTGATGTCTTTATTATCTTCTTCCTACCTCCTCTCATTCTCAAATCGAGTTTGAAAGCCTAGGTGCTCAGCATGGAATTATAAGAAATTATGAAGTTTGACTTTCTTAGTTTGTAATTCACTAATCCTATTTCAATAGATCGAAGAGTACCATTTGGATAAGTAAATGATGAAATTTATTGAGAGAAATAGAAAGAAGAAGCAAGAGTGTTCTCGGCATCTTTTGTGGTATTTTATTATAGATATGTTCCTTTTTGCAAAGCTGGAGGCTTTCTTTTTGTTTCCATTCAAGTGCACATACGGAGGGAATCAGGAAATACACGCTGTGGTTGCAGTGACCGGTGGGGATTTGGGTGCCCTGAAGAGCACTCACTCCTTCTCAAGGGCCAGTAGCTTCTGGACTCCAGGTCTGTGGTGCAGTGTGGAAATGCAGTCCTGCAGGGGCCAGATCTTCTAATTTAAAAAAAAAAAAAAAAAGGTTTAATGAAGTCCCCCTTTTTTAAATGTGGGAGCTAATTCCACCACATTCATCCCACAGGTGGCCAGTTTGCAGTCTCTGATATAGACCCTCAGCAAATAATGGCACCATTTATAATGCCTGATACCGATCATGGACAGTTCAGACAGTAATTCTGATTATGCAGACTTGCTTGCTGATGGGTGCAATGTCTCACTCTTCCCCACTTTAAATCTGAACAGATTTTTCTTGCTGTTTTTCGCGTTCTTTAGGGCAGCATGGCCCAGTAGAAAGTTCTGCAGTGATGGACGTGTTCTGAATGTGTGCCTTTCTGTCCGGTCGCCACCAGCCACATGCGACTCTTGAGCACTCAAGATACGGCTAGTGTGACTAAGGAATGGGAGCTTAAATTTTGTTCAATCTGAATTAGTCAAATGTAAATCATCACCTGTAGCCAGTGGCTAGCAAGCCTTATCTGAAGGTCTCGGTACCATATCATCTCCTCAGAAACCCAACCCAGAGTCACTGAATTGAACCAAACTAATGCATGCCTTTGATTGCAAAAAAGAGTAAGGAGGAAAGGGAACAAATCCACTCCAGCCTTGGCGGGGTCAGGAGAAAATTCTATGTGCCTAAATTTATCAAGCTTATACATCACATTGACACACTCTTAAATAAAATATATTCCTATCCTCCTACCTGTGAAATATTTCTTCATAATGTCCTGGAAGGCAAGGTTCAAATTTGGAATTCCTGGACTCGTAGGGCTCTGTCCTGGAGCACAGTGGCCTGGAGGGAGCTGGCCCTTCTGTCCCCACCCCAGCTCTACTCCGCACCACAAGTGGTCTGGTGCACTGCCCAGACAGAGTGGAACTTTACATACCTGCCGTTCAAGGACCATCTTCGGGACACTTCTGTGGATCAGATGGTACGTTCTCTCTTTTCTCCCTCATGGCTGTAGCTGCATTTGATTTTAAGACACCTTCCACAGCTTTATAGAAATGCCATAGAAAGTGAGCTCCTGTATTGGGCTGGGCATAAAGCTCCCCTCTGGGACAAGTGCTATGATCTGATTGATGCCTTCAGGGACCCCACGTAAGGTCCTACCTCATTGCCTGCAAATTGAAGGATAATCAGTTTTCTAAATGGGCTTGCACTGACTTCTTCAGGGGCAAATTAGAACTGAACTTGGCTGCTGCCTTTAAAGTGTGTAAGAGCTGAAACAAGGAACAGGTATAGGTGTGACTTTGGTCAAAGGTTAATAAGGAGTGTTCACTTCATTAAGCTGCTTGCTCAGCATCACTAAATCGTCTTCAGCAATCTGCGTCAGAGGACTTCTTATTTGGGGCAGTCCTTTATGGCAAAAATAAAAAAGGGGGGGCAGGGGAGTGGAAGATAAATTACAGATTGCTTTTAATTCATGTATAAATCAACCCAGTGAGTACCATGTGATTAAAGTCATTAGTTAAAACATCAAGTATCTTGATGCTCTGAAGCCATCTTTATTATCTTCATCTAAATGATTTGCAAATTCTGGCATTAAAATAGGTAGAAGAGAATAAACATTATAGTCACACTCTATACACGCATAGATGTGTGTGAAAAACTTGAGCACCTTGAGGTGGAGGGCAGTTTCCAAAGCTTGTTTTGAACAATTGACTGATCACATTCGTTTCTGCTTGGAGGCATTTACGCCAGTATCGTTAACAGGTAATAAGTCATTTTGTTACCACTTGGAGAAAGATGAACTATACCCTGATTGTGCTGGGGCTCCCTCTTGTGGTAAGAAAGAAGAACAGGCACGTACATAATTCCTGACAGCTGAAGACAAGAAATAGATGTTCCCAGGGATAGAACCGGAAAGGGTAAACTGTGATGATCTGTAAAGATTCGGGGTATCCGGCCAGTTCTCTCTGTCATTCAGGATTGTCTGGGAAACAAATTCCATGCTTTCCGTTAGATATTTTAGACCCCGCAACACACTCTGATCTACAACTGCTGCTACCCTTCTTAAAGACACTCACATTTTACCACTCTCTCCTCAATTTCCTTTCCATTACAGCCTCTTTTCAGCATTAGAAACTGTCTTATATGATTTCGTAGCTCATAAATAATACCTTAATAGAAATTAGTGTAAGTATTTTACTGATGAAATATGTTTTCCCCTGTGTCCCTTTTCATATATGCAAATGCTTAGCAATCTTGGGTGGTTCTAGAAAGTGATAGTTTCTTTTTCTCAGTGCCTCAACCTAATTTTTTCTCTGCCAACATCGATTTCTGTTGAAACAGAAACCTTTGAAACATTATTAGAAGCTGAAAGGCATCCATACATACTATATGATTCTTAGACTGTTTAGGTCTGCAGAGTCTTGCTCTGTTGCCCAGGCTGGAGTCCAACGATGCAGTCTTGGCTCACTGCAACCTCCCCCTCCTGGGTTCAAGTGATTTTCCTGCCTCAGCTTCCCAAGTAGCTGGGATTACAGGTGTGAGCCGCCGCGCCCAGCCTGAGGTTAAATTTGAAAGTACCATCTTGCCTGTGTGACTCTTTCAAAGGGGCTCTAATCACCAGTGCATGGTGAGGTCTCCTAGCCCTGCTGCCTGAATTAGCTGCAACTGTGAGGCTGAGAAGGCGTGGGTAAGGCTAAACATATCCAATGGCCAGGCAGAATACATAGGCAGTAGATAGGACTAGGAGTTAAAACTGGTTATGGGAGAAAGAAAGGTTCTTTTATGGGAGGAGATGGACAGGTGCCATTCTGCTGCAATGGGATAATTAGAGGTCTATGTCTCTTTGTTTTCTCTAAATTCTATGCTAAAGGGGAGCCCTAAATTGTGTTAGTAGGGAATGGGGGTCACAGTGGCCGTGGGGAGCTTCCAATCTCTAGTGACTACCTTTTTGGAATCCCAGGTGCACTTTTCATTAATGCAGGACCAGCATTTGAAAATATTGAATAGGTGAATAAAGAGTACTGTGAGGAGGGAGGTAATGATGTCTTGTTGGGCTTCTCAAAGATGTTTCAAAGATCTTTCAGTGGTACAATAACAACTTTATTAAAAAGACAAAATGGATTTGCTCATAAGAAAACACGAAATGAGGCCAGGCTCAGTGGCTCACACCTGTAATCCCAGCACTTTGGGAGGCCCGGGAAGATCACAGGGTCAGGAGTTTGAGACCAGCCTGGCCAACATAGTGAGACCCTGTCTCTACTAAAAATACAAAAATTATCTGGGTGTGGTGGCGGGCACCTGTGTTCCTGGCTAATTGGGAGACTGAGGCAGGAGAATCGCTTGAACCTGGAAGGCGGAGGTTGCAGTGAACCAAGACCGTGCTATTGCACTCCAGGCCTACAGAGAGATACTCTGTCCCACGCCCCCTGCCCCCCGCAAAGAAAAAAGAAAAGAAAAAGAAAAAATCCCACTAGATGAAATAGATACAACTTCTGTGCAATTTGCCTTAGTCTATTTAGGCTGCTGTAACAAAATTACTATAAACTAGGTAGCTTGCAAACAAAGAAACTTATTTCTCATGGTTCTGGAGGCTGGAGAGTCCAAGGTCCAGCCACTGGCGGATCTGATGCCTGGAGGACCTGCCTCCTGGTTCTGCCCTGGGAGCAGGCGGTCTAGTCTCCCTTGGTTGTCTTTTATGAGAGTACTGATCCTGTTCATGAGGGCTCCTCCCTTTTGATCCTGTCACCTTCTAAAAACCCTACCTCCTAACACCATCAAGTTGGGGATTAGGTTTCAACATGAACTTGGAGGGGCCACAAACGTTCAGACAATCGTCCAGTTTGTAATAGGATTTCTCTTTCCTTGCATCTTCCCATGTTCAGAAGCGTGGGAATAGCTTTCCGCCAGGCATTTTGCCTGCTTGGCCTCAGACTTTTCATTGCTGTACCTAGATAGTCTAGTTGTTCGGTGTGTGTGGGAAGACAGGACCTAGGGGGTGCAGAGGGAAGGACTGGCTTTCCGGATGTGCACATCAGGGGTGGGAGGCAGGGTCTGGCTCTGTTACCCAGGCTGGAATGCAGCGGAGCAATCTCAGCTCAGCGCAACCTCCGCCTCCCGGGCTCAAGCCATCTGTCCACCTCAGCCTCCCAAGTAGCTGGGACTACATACACACCTCATTACACCAAGCTAATTTTTGTATTTTTGGTAGAGATGGAGTTTCACCATGTTGCCCAGGCTTGTCTCAAACTCCTGGGCTCAAGTGATCCACCCACCTCGGCTTCCCAAAGTGCTAGAATTATAGGCATGAGTCACCATGCCGAGCATGGATGGCCACATTTTTTAATGGACTACTATTTTATAGAAAAGTCCAAGTTTTTTTCTGCTTCTCACTCTCCAGAACTTCCTAACTTTCTTGCCGATGGTTTCTGAGGCTGGGTATCAATGAGGTGGTCGTGGTGCAGCATGTTCTGACCAGATCAAGCTGAGAAGTGTAACAATTTTGGTAATAAAAGTGCCAAACAATTTTTCATATCAATAGAATCCCGGTTGAGTCAATAGGCAGATACTTATTGAGAAATCCTTCTCCACAGTCCCTTGTTGTTTCTACTAGGTTAACTTATTTGAGAAAGAAGGCCTGCCAGGACACTATATGTGTGAGCCTTCTCCATTGCAGAAAAAGCACTGATTATAAATCTACTTGGGCTTATGCAGAGGCCTGACACAGACAGGAGGATGGTACATCCCGTGATTAACGCACCTCCTACCTTCGCCTTGCCATTCAGTCCTGTTGGGAGGATTGAGGGAGATGGCACGGACGTTGAGGACTGAGCCAAAGCTGAGTCCTCAGACAACAATAAAAACCATTCCTGGAATGGAGTGTCTTGTGTGCAAAGGCCTGGAAGTATTGGTGATTATAAGGATTTGAGGATACTGCAAGCAGTTTATGACTAAAGCATATGGAACTAGTGGGAGCATGGTGGGAGAGGAAGCTCTGAGGAGGTCTTTCCTGAAGGACCTCAAATGCCATGGGGAGTAATCTCAGGTTTTCACCTTGCAGTCAGTAGGATGCTATTCAAGAATTTGAGGTGGGCACAGTGGCTCACGCCTGTAACCCCAGCACTTTGGGATGCTGAGGCCGGCAGATCGCCTGAGCTCAGGAGTTTGAGACCAGCCTGGGCAACACAGTGAAACTCTGTCTCTACTAAAATACAAAAAAATTATCCGGGCATGGCGATGTGCGCCTGTAATCCCAGCTGCTCGGGAGGCTGAGACGGGAGAATCGCTTGAACCTGGGAGGCGGAGGTTGTAGTGAGCCAAGATCGTGCCATTGCACTCCAGTCTAGGCAACAGAGTGATTCTCCTCTCAAAAAAAAAAAAAAAGAAGAAGAATTTGATACAGGAGACACATGTTTACAATCTGGCTAGATGGTAAGATACCGAAAAATAAAAAATAAAAACCCCAATGTCATCCAAGAAGTGTCTGAAGACAATGCATGATTCACTGTTAAATGGCTGGGCGCTGATGAGTGACAGTCACAGAGAAGAAAAATTGCTGTGAACTGAAGCTATCAGGGACGTCTTCCTGAAGGATGGAAGACTAACATGGCACCTTGAAGAACAGATGGAAGAAAGGGAGACGCTTCACTGATGCCGTAGTATGGGATTTCTGTTGCTCACAGATAAAGGCTAACGGAAAAACATGGACCATGCTTATCTTCCTGGCCACACTGCAGTAGATATTGCCACCTCCTCCCATGAGAGGAGACGTGAGTGGGCGTGGTCTAAGGGAGAGTCGCAGTGATGTGGCTGTTTCCAGAGAAAGGCCTTCAGGATAGGATGATGAACGGACAAGGCACCGGAGGCAATGTTGGCTCATCCCAGCTTGGGGACAAGTGTTAGATGCTCCAGAGTTTCAGAGTATTGACTTATTGAATCCATTGTACTCTCTGAAGGGGTGTCTAGAACCTACTCAGTGCAAGCACTGAGCTACATCTTGGCCAGATCTTGGTGTCTCATGCGGGCACCTAATTTGCCTGCCATATTGGCTTCTCTATTCTGAAGGACCTTTTCCCAGAGGGAGTGAAAATGTGTGTATTTTTCTGGGGCTTTGTTGATTCATGGATGCTCCTTGATGCTGTTAGGCCTGATGAGTGCCATGGATTCTTCTAAGAAATCAGAACCCTTGGCCATTAGCATGAATTGTATTCCTGGGGATGAATTTGCTCTAGAACAAGTATTTAGCTTTGCCGGAAGTTATTCCTGCCCTTTCTAGGCCTAACCATACGAGAAGGTGTGAATTTTTGCTTTCCCATAAGAGGAAAAGCAATAACAAAAGGAACCCAGTCTGAGCCCAGAACAAATCAGCTCCAAGCAAAAGGAATTTTACCAATTCATGGGACTCTGCCAACATTGCCAACAGTGGTGGGAAGTCAGTTGATTAACTCAGCTAGTAAATATTCTACAATGCAATAGGTGCTGTCCTGGGGATACAGAGGTGAACAAAAGAAGCGTGGTACCTGTCCTCCTGAAATTTACAGGTGGTGGGGGAAAGGCAAGTCAACAGATGTTTTTGCTTATGTGCGCTATTATCCTAACGAGCCCCGGTCTGAGCTTTGGATGAGGTTCAGCTGCTGTAGCGTGCTAGCTGGGTGACTGAATTCTTCTGAGATAATTTTTTAAACGATAAAATGTGGCCAAAGCACAGGAAAAGCAAAGAGCCTCGTAGTTTAGCATAACTGAGCAGCACAAGCTAGATTTGAAGCGTCTTGGAAGAAAGGGTCCCTGCATTTGAAGAACTTTGATTATACTCTTCAAGCTAAAGCTGTGCATCTTACACTGCCTTGATGAGCAAAGAACTCTCCTTTCCACCTGTTCAGATTTGACAGCACCACGCCACATGATTTAGTCTGGACTTAGCAAACACCCACCGATGACCGTGTTGCCGTGACCACGGAGCGCTCATCAGCATTGCCCCTCTCGTTCGTCTTTGTCTAGGCAGGATTCTCCTTTACTCTGATTGGAATCGCAGCTGTTTTGACTCAGGTTGGAGGTGCATGGACGCCGGCACAGTGCCTGCCTCCCCTGGGTCAGCTCTTACTATCATTTCATTCCACAAGCAACACAACTCCTCTCAGTTTAAAAGGAAAAGAGGGAGAGTCATAATTGAACATAGCAGTCCTCGGTGCTTGCTGAAATGCTAAATGAGGGGCCTATGTTTTTAAGAGCACTTTCTAGGGGAAATTCTGAAATTGCAAGCTGCAGCCCTTTCTCTCTTCGTGCTCTGTTTGGCTGATTTCCAAAGCATTGAGGCCAGCAATTGAAGGACTGAAATGTAATCGGTGGTGATACGTTTATGCCACATGAAACATTCTCTGCCTCCAAAGGCTCCAGAGGCTGTGGGAAGCAGCACATCAGCGACAGCTCCTGGCTGCTGGACTCTGCAGGGAGGGAAGGAAGATTGGTCGCAATGGTAAGAAACTCTGGAGTTTTCTACAGACCTAGTTTATTACCTGGGAAAGCATACTTAGCCTCTGCTGGTGAAAATGGCTGTTGGTAGCATGAGACTGAACAGTCACTTGAGCTCTAAGGCACTGTCCATTTTTGACTAGAAGGGCAGGAACACTCTTTTCACCAGAGCACTGATTTTTGAAAAATGATTCCTTTCGTGTCAGAGGTAATGGTGCCTTGTAATTAATAAGACCGTCTGCTGGGCTCTGCCAGGGAAGGAGCGTCCCACGGTGACCTCAGCTGTAAACCCTAGTTAATGCTGTCTCTGAAGTGTGCTCTTTCCTCTCAAAGTGATTGTCATTTCCATGAGATGCTTCAAATAAATGGTTGTCTATTTTCTCGATATGTTCGTGTGGGGTACAGACCCATTCATCCCTAAGCAGCTTGCTTTGAATTGTCACCATTCTGTGAGCTTCACTGTTTACTGGAGGCATCAAGCATTACTACAGCAAACTTCCCCCTGATTTGTCTTTCTTTCTTTTAAAACTATCATAGGCAAGCAGCAACAACAGGAACCCAAGTTTTCAAAGAAAAAATGATCTGACTTTGGAGGAAGTTTGTTTGATTTGGTTCCGTAAAGCAAACATTTCCAGGGTGAGGTGATCCTTACTGTGAACTTGAGTTCTTTGGATGAGGCTTTAGAATTCACCGTGTAAGTGACAGTGTGCTTCTCTCCTGGTCTCTGCTTTCTGGGTGTCTTTTCCAAGTGCCTCCTCCCAATCACTCAGGTACAGGGGAGAAAACACGGGAGGTGGGAGGAAGAACCAGTGTGCAACAATGGGGCCACTAAACATTTTCTCGAAAGACTGAATGGGTGAAGCATGTTGATAAAATAAGGTTACATAACATTGGGAAGAAAATAAAGCCTATTACTGCTGAGAGAGAATGCTTGAAATATACGTATTTGACTGCACAGCTGATGTGTGGGAAATGATGTCTGTTTCTAATCCAGATGAATAAGGAGACTGGTGATAAAGGGAGGGTGGGAATTTCTGGACGTGAGTTTGCTTTCCAACAACTCAGAAAGGGGGAAATTGGAAACCAGATCTATGAGAATCATTCCTCTCATTCCTGCCTTCACACTCCGTCCCTAGATCACCCGTAGGCACACAGACCAGAGAAACTGCTGCCAAGGCAAAGCTCAGATTTTCCCCTCCTTAGCTGACATCTCGTGCCATTTATCATCTCATCCATTTTAACAGTTCTTCTTACCTGTTGAGGAGTCAAAATAAAGACTCCCTTGTTTCTCCTTAATCAGCAGGATGGGTTAAAAATAAATAAATAAGCCACATATCCAGCATGAGGATTAAATGGGACACTGAGTGCTTTGGAATGTTTGGCCTGAATGCTTGAGGCATAATCATTCCTTTCTTCCTTCATTAGCCTGAGAACATTCCTTTAAGGATTATCAAGGACCAGGATGAAATGCAGGTCCCTCTCTGGCCAGCACACTTGGAGCGTGGGCGTTAACATACACATAGTGACATTCACCTACAGTGTTCAGGGAGAAGTGAGGAGCAGGTCAGGGGCTGAGATCATTCAAGTACAATCGTAGTACAAGCCGATGAAAGTATATAGACCTCCATAGAGAGTGAACTTACCTTTGGAGTTGTGGGAGGGCTCAGAGGGAACTAAGAATCGCTGCAAGCTCTTTACATCCAGACCATCCTCTGGTCATTTTGATTAATTACTATTTAAAAGGTTGGAAAAAAGTACCCAATTTTACATTGACATAAAAGTTCCGGTCTAAGTGAGCTCTTCTTAATGACACACTAAAATGGCAACGATTTTACAGGGAAGGATACTGACCACCTGGCTTTTGCCAAGGTAACCATGTTCCACCTTTCATTTTAGTGAGAGCTCTGTAAGAGACCACTGATTGGAAGAGGAGTGAATCTATACATTGGATTTTCATTAAATCCCTTCCGTGATGAAAAGGAAACCAATCACGTTTCTCATCATGCAAATGTGATCAGTTATTTTACTTACCCAGGGTAAAGGACACTGTGTTTAAAACCCTCTCCTTGACCTCATTAGAATCACAAGCATGTCGGAACTTGCTGGATGTTATACCAAACAAGTCAGCCCAGCTTTGGCTCTGGCTTCTGATTACTTTTTAAGTTTTATTTACAAATTTAAAGGAAATGCAGATAATTAAATGTATACTACATAATTACAGATGACTTTAAGATATTTCAAAGCAAGGAAAATGAGTGGAAGTTCTCAGTAATATTTTACAAATATCAAGGACATAATGTGCTGTGTGCTAAGTGTTTTAAATGCTTTAGTAATCTCCAGTCTTGCTTTTAAATACATATTTTAAAATTGTTACCCCTGTTGCATTGAGGTAAGACACACGGAGTTCTGTGCTCTCTGAAGGGCACGCAGCTAGTGAGGGGTACGCCAGGGTGGGAATGAATGCAGGCTGGCTCTGGGGCCCTCACCCCTGAAACCACCTTATCATATGGCCTTTCAAAGTGGAGAGGAAGAGAGCCAGATGTAGCTGGGGTCCTGACAGCAAGTTATGGAAACTTTTGGTGACCCAGTCTCAAAATTTCTACTCATCTTTGACATTTCCCTCTTCCTGTTCTTTGTTCCCACTGTCACTTCTTTTAGTTTCTTTGTCATTTGCTCATGAACACCTTATATTCCCACTCAGACCAATTTCCCTTAAACAGCTGTGTCTAACTGGGAGCCAGTCTAATGTAGGGAAAGAGGATATAAATTTGCTCAGACAGGGAGTTAAATTTCTTTTTTCTTCTTTTTTCTTTTTTTTTTTTTAAAGATAGAATCTCACTCTCTCACCCAGGCTGGAGAGCAGTGGCACAATCTCAGCTCATTGCAACCTCCACCTCTGAGATTCAAGTGATTCTCATGTCTCAGCCTCCTGAGTAGCCAGGACTACAGGCATGTGCCACCACACCCAGCTAATTTTTGTATTTTTTAGTAGAGGCAGGGTTTCACCATGTTGGTCAGATTGGCCTTGAACTCCTGGCCTCAAGTGATCTGCCTGCCTAAGCCTCCCAAAGTACTGAGATACAGGCCCTAGCCACCACACCCAGCATTCTTTCTCTTAATTTTAATTTTTATTGGTATAAATTTATGAGGTATAAGTATAATTTTGTTATATGCGTAAGTTGCATAGTGGTGAAGTCAGGGAGGGAGTTAAATTTTTCTTTTTCTTTTTTTTTTTTGAGACATAGTCTTGCTCTTTCACCAAGGCTGGAGTGCAGTGGCATCATCTTAACTCACTGCAACCTCCACTTCCCAGGTTCAAGTGTTTCTTCTGCCACAACCTCCTGAGCATCTGGGACTACTGGCATGTGGCACCATGCCCAGCTAATTTTTTGTATTTTTAGTAGAGACAGGGTTTTAATGTGTTGGCTAGGATGGTCTCGATCTCCTGACCTTGTGATCCACCCACCTCCATCTCCCAAAGTGCTGGGATTACAGGTGTGAGCCACAGCACCTAGCTGGGAGTTAAGTTTCTGTGTTACACTCTTATTAATTGTGTGATTTTGTACAGTATTTTTAAAACCTTTTCAATTCTTAGCTTTCTTATCTGGAAAATGGGAATAATGATTCTTACCTTCATTGGGTCATTGTGAAGATCATGTTAATATGTTTGTGTAAAATAGAATGTTTAGTTAGGAGACCATGACAAGGAGAAAAATGAGAAGGAAGCTCTAAAAATTAGCTAGGTAAAAAACAATATGGATTTAAATTAGAATGGCAGAAAATGAAAAAGCAGGAAATGACGTAAATTCACCTGCACTGACCGCTGATGGGAGGTGAAATGTGAAAGGGAAAAGCAATGACCCTGGCATTTGAAGCAAGGAGGAAAAAAAAATAAGAATCCTCTCATTGTAATGTTGTAATTCTTACATTACTTGGCATGCTACCTGTCTTTGTCTGTCCAGGATACTCTAACAAAATACATCAGACTGCATAACATATACACAACAGAAATTTGCCAGGCACGGTGGCTCATGCCTATAATCTCAGCACTTTGGGGTGCTGAGGTGGCGGATCGCCCAAGGACAGGAGTTTGAGACCAGCCTGGCCAACATGGTGAAACCTCATCTCTACTAAAAACACAAAAGTTAGTTGGGCGTGGTGGTGGGAGTGTGTAATCCCATCTACTCAGGATGCTGAGGCAGAGAATCACCTGAAGCCGGGAGGCGGAGGTTACAGTGAGCCAAGTAACCACTGCACTCTAGCCTGGGCAACAGAGTAAGACTCTGTCTCAAAAAACAAACAAACAAAATAACAGAAATTAATTTCTGATAGAGACAAGGAAATCCAAGGTCAGGGTTCTAGCAGATTTGTGGTCTGGAGAGGGCCTGCTCTCCGCTGTATGGGTGTTGGCTTCTCGCTGTGTCTTCACATGGTGGTAGGAGCTACATAGATCTCTGGTGTCTTTCTCATAATGGCACTAATCCAATTAGCAAGGGCAGAGCATTCAAGATACCGCCTTCCAGAAGCCCCACCTTCTAATACTACCACACTGGGGATTAGGGTTTGACAAATGAGTCTGGGAGGTGGGGGAAACAAATGTGCACACCATAGCAGTGCCTTTCACATAGTAGGTTTCATGTGGCATAGAATGAATAAAGGCATGAGTTAAAAAAAAGTCCGAGAGCCTATATAACATATATATACACACACATATAAAACACATAGCTGTCTATGATTTATATTATCTATTGGACTTTGAGTAACAGGCAATAGGTCTCATCTCCTTAATGTATATCACATGTCAATAATTGTATAAGAGATGAGTCCTATGGTCTGGTCCCAAAGTCTAATGAGGTGTTTAAAAGTGAGTGACAATGTAGTGTGTCCTGGGAGAAACACACACACATATATATTAATATATGTATAAGTAGGCTTTTGATTATGTTCCTGAGGAGAAGAAGATGAATCCGGAGGATCAGAGGTTACATGCACCTATGTTCCTAT